TTTACATGTATATAGAAATTAATTAATCCTCAGACAGGATCATTTGAGTATAGAAGGAGAATAATTGAGAATATAAAATATCAGTTAATAAATGTAGGGTAATTATAGTATTTGTAAATATCCTTTGTATATTAGAATAACTTTAAAAAACGGATTAATTATTATTTAGGTATTTAATTAAAAGAAATCCAATATAAAAATTTCTCTCAAGATACCAGATACTTGAAGAAGGACCTAAGTCAAATTTAACAACTCATATGCGTATCAGAGTATAAAACTAAAGCATTCCTTGAAAAATGAACAGCTCTTTATTACGTATTTAATCCGCAAAAGAAAATTATTTTAATCGTTTCCTCACATCTCTCGCCTGACCGTGAAAATATTTTTTTTGTTCTCTTTTCTCAATACCACACGGTCTTTCACGGTGTTCTCTTTTTAATTTCAAACACGTTCCGAGTTACCTAGATTATTATTTGCCGTACAAATGGAGAGGGGGAAGAAAGAAAAAGGGAGAAAGAAACGAAACCGATATGGGAGAGATATGCAAGAAATGAATATGTGTGTACGAGTTTTCGTTCGAAATACACGTGTACGAAGAGAAATCCGTAATCTTGCCAGCGGCGTTTCAAACTCTGCTCCGTGATAGTTATCGTGTTCCGATAAATCGAGCGCGTGTTATCCTTAGACGTCGGTGAGACGCGGTAAAGCGAGAAACATAATGCTCAAACATCATAACAAAAGAGCTGATGAAATTTTGGTCCCGGGAAACTTTTTCATTCCCTTTCGATCCGCGCCACCGCCCGGAGATAATTGGATTCCAGAGCGAAAAGTTGAAAGGGAGGGCAAAATTATTCAAACGAGGAGGTAAGAAACGCAGGCAACCGGGAGATTGTACGTAAATCGGGAGATTGAACGCTGGAGATAAAAGAAACATATTTATCACCCGCCCCTCCACCTTCTACTCTTTATCACCCTTCTCCGCCTCTTGCTTTTTATCACCCTCTCCTCCTCTCCCTCCGTGTAATTAAATTGTCTCTGAATTCGATCGCAATCCCGAAACTAACATGAAATCAAGAAATAACAATCGATCTGAACAAAGTTTCCAGGCCAACTTGGATAATCGGTAGCCTGCGGATCTTCGTGGAATTTCATGTCTTTACGAAGGCAATTGAAGAAATAGAGACTAAACAGACATTCGTTTTCACTACTCGATACTACAACAGATATTCTACTCCTGATATATCACGCATCATTTATTTTTTATACGCAATATATATTGTAATTTTATATATTCTTTGTATTATAATTTTATATATTCCTGCGTACTTTGTGACTTTCTGCGTTCTTGAATTTTCGCTTGAATAACGCACAAGATTAGAGTCCGTAAAATCTAACTCTAATCATTCACTCTAATAAGAAAACCTACGTGAAACTCAAATTATCAAACTGAAATGGATACCGACTCACCTGCCCGATCTCGTTAACTCCTATTTTACTCGAAAACCAAACCATCCGTCTATGACTCTGCTATACCACCCTGTAATATTCCCTTAAAGCCACGAAACCACAATCCCCCAGCGTTCTCCAATTCCGTTCGGTAGGATTGTCGGAATTCACTGTCCCGATCTCGCCCGGAGTCAATACTCGACTCTGGGAACGCCATTGGAAATACTTGTAGAAGAGGCTCAAGTCTTATACTGAAGATTCGAAGCGACGTACACTAGAATGCGCAGCTCGCGAGGACACGGAAGACGCTGAAAGAACGCAGAACACGCGGGAGAGGAGAACGAGAAGAAAACGGAGAAGAGGCGCAGTGCTACGATGCTACAGAGTGAAAGACAGGAAGGGTTGGCACGAAGGTAGAGAACGAAACAGGACGCGAGAAGGGCTGCAGGTAAGGGGGTGGGGTAAAGGAGGAGGAGGAGGAGGAGGCAGACGTCGGTGCATAATCGATGATCACAGTCATAATAAATGAAGTATGTCTTGGTAGGAGGTGGGTAGGGTGTAGGTACCTGACGACGGCCCCGGGCATCCACAGGAAGATCATCTTCTCCGGCCGTAATCCGAGGTGTGCGTCGCGTATCGCGTATCCGATCGGAATCTCCAGCACTCCCCTGGACCAGACCGAAAGTAGCTAATCATAATAACGTGCCGGTACCCTAGTACCCAGGTGCGTGCACGCCCTGCTACGATTACCCGGCATTATAAATTTCAGTTGCCCTCGACGCGTATAAACTCTCGCGCTCTTCTCCTCTGCTCGCTTTCCTCCCCACGTCGGACACAGAGGATACTTGTGCTCGAAAACAGGATGAAAGTCGTTGCCTTCGATTTATTTTTATCGTTGCTGTGCCTGATGGTGGACGCGGACTTGGCCGTGGAAAGAGAAAATTGTCGTTTAATCACTGAATCGACCAGACGATAGACATTTGAAGTAACTTTGGTACTGGAGCCATTGCAGTGTGATAAAATGTGGTATAATAAACGGCGGCGGGACGAAAACGTGGGATTGTCGCATGTGCCTATTGCTGCTGTCGCGTTCGTGTTCATTGATTTTTTGCCCGGTACTTTTGGTCAAAGTAGACCAACGAAGCTTGTCGCTTCTGCGAGAGATTGAATCATCGACGAGTTGATCTAGAGTGTTATCAGTCGTATTAAATGAAGAGAACGGCTAGATGAGGAGAAATCATTTTTTGTACGTAAACCTTTCGCACTCTAGAAATTGCCAACAACTCGATATTTATGGACATTATTTATTAAACCAAGTTCGAGATTATTTTGTTTACTGTGATTATGAAATTTCATCTTTTTCAAATGAATTCATCTATGGATATTTTACAATGTTCTAAAAAAAATGATTATACGTTTGACATATTGTGATCAAAATTTATAGAAATGCATAGTACGATTAGAGCGTGCATGTAGATATCTATGACAATCCGAGTTGTTGGAGAAGATGTAACAAATATCATAATCCAAGTGATATTAAAAAAGAAGGATTTATTTTCAGTTTTTTTTTTTTCTTTTTTTCACCGAGAACGCAAGTAGCAGGCTGCTGTATTGTCGAACGACGACGATATAAAAGATTCGTCCAAAAATAACCTTAAAATTCATAGCCGAAGCATCAAAACAACGTTCTGACGCTATGGGTACGGACAAAGCTCGGAAAATCAGCTTTCAACTACACTCAATTCACATGCCTTTTGTTCCGTCACACGATAAACGAAGAAAGAAAGATACATTCCAACTGCGAGATACAGCCAGTCAGCGAGAGAGCAACTATCACCCTTTCGATTGAAAAATTTAAACATCTGACAACCCTTAATTCCAGCAGATTGTATCGATTCAACCACCATCATTATTCGCCTAACAGTGCTTCCCCTTTCGAATTAAAAATCGCGTCCTCCGTATCTCTATACCTTTCTCATAATTTCCCATAATTGCGACTGGCAATCTGCGCGACCTGAATCTCGGCGAATCTCAGTGAATTCCCGACGAATCCAGCGGAATCGACGCCGAATCGCGTGGTTTAATGCTTTCTCGCGCGAGTTCGAGCAACCAGGAGGGTGGCCGAGCGCGAAATGTACACGCATCGCGCGCGGCAAGCGGAAAGAGGGAGAGGATCGCGTGGAAGAAAGGTGGAAAAATTTCAAAGATGAAGGAAGACGGAAAGAGAAGCAAGAAGGATAAACATACACGACTAAAAAAAAAAGAGAGAGAGACGGGGGAGAGAAAGAGAGGAAGAACAGACAGAGATGGAGATACAGAGAGAGAGAGAGAGAGAGAGAGAGAGAAATAGAGAGGGAGGCATCGAAGTTGGAATTGATCGGAGGAGGAAGGATTGGAGGGACGAAACGGAGGGTTGCCCGCAGCGCAAGCGCCCCTCAGGCGACGTCACATTGATTCCTCCGGGAAGAGCTTACAAAATGGCCGCCGGCGTTCCATTCCTTCCTTGCTATTCGTACGGGGTAGGCTTCCGTCTATCTAGGTCTCTTTGTCTGAGGTATATGCGAATATGGGCGGCTGCCGTGGCGCGCGGAGCCATGGGGGTGTGAGGAAATCGATGCACCTTAGGGAGAGAAACCACCGGTGTTCTACTCTCTCTCTCTCTCTCTCTCTCTGTCTCTCTCTCTCTCTCTTTGCATCTGTCTCTCCTTTTTTCCCTTTTGCTCGTAGCTGGAGTATAATCTCGCTAGAGCTTAGCAGCTCTGTCTCGGAGAAGCGGCCGGATGGCTGGATGGCTGTGTGTTTGGTTGGACGGATAGAGAGAACGAAGGAGAGTTGCCAGCGCGGAAGGAATTGAATTATCAAGCGAGGCGGAAGGTGCAACCTTTAAAGATAAACCGGCTTCCTAAAGTGAATCTTAATCTGATACCGGTGATGTAACCGTTTGCCGGATACTCCCGGCAAATAAGCTCGCTTTCGGTCGAGACTCGTTCGTACGTTTGGAAGCGTTTCCTCGGAAGCTCCACGATCGAACAGCAAGCGAGGGGGTAGGCACGGTCCAAGAATTTCATTTCGGTTCGTTAAACCGGAAATCGGCCGTCCACTGGACGCTGGTTTTCTTCTTTGAAAAAGGGGTGAAGATAGGCTTGGATTTTCACTTCACCTTGTGCCTCACTGATACTACTTTGTTACCGAGGTGGTTACGTAAGGGACGAAGAGTTACAAATAAACTGCGGATTTTTATGTAAATTCGTTTTCCTAAGTTATATCTTACCTTTGATATTTAGTAACATGATTAAAAATTGACAATTACAATGTTACTGTAAGTAAGTGCATGTACTGCTATTCATATTTATGGAACGAGAGAGTAATTTGAATTTTTATACGTATTTAAGAAGAAGCAAACTTATTCCCGTAATCATTCTTGGTTCTACTAAATTACCAAGAATCAAATGTTTAAGAAAAATCGATTTTACATGTTAAACATTATAGAAAGTACTATGAAATATATTACACTAGGTATAAGTAATCAGTGATTAATGATTAAGTGAAATTAGAGGTTTATATTCGTTTCACAATCGCGATGTCACTTCATTCATGAAATGCTGTATAAAAAGAAATGGACAAATATTTACGGAGGGATGATAGATTACTTCATATTCGAGTGTGCGCAGTAGAATTTCAATTACAATCGAGCTGCGTGTTTACGTAGCCCGCTCACACTCCAACTAAAAACATTTATACGAAAAATTATATCGTTTTAACAACGAACGGCAATTATTTATTATTTACGTGTCGCGTATGAAACTTAGTTGCGATTGCCAATTTGCAGGAAGATATCGACGCGATCACTTGCCCGGTCGACCAATTACTTATACATGTAAATTACATATTCAGCAGCTTAAGTTCGGCGTTATTCTGCAACATTCTGAGACTTGAAACATCACGACGCGCACATCATTCGATCTTACAATTATTGTATATAATTATGTATATTATCCGGACATGGAGAATTCCCGATTTAAGTCAAAGAACGATCAAGACGAGCAACAAAAGTATGCGACACCGCGAAGAAAATCTGATAAAATATTCCGCTTCGTATTTCGGATTTTCGAGCTAATGTCAAAATCGAAATGTCTTTCCAAAAATTTGTTGCATTTCATTCCGGATTAAAAATAGAAGCAAAATATTATTCGTCAAAGAAAAAAAAATATATATTATTCTCCCAAACTTTTGCAAGCAAATCGTACCAAAGAGCTTAAATAAATAAAAAATAAATTTAAAATACATTTATAATATGACTGTGTATTTGTAAATTCGTATTTGAACGTTCGCGTAGTTCAACAAAAAAATATTATTCTCTCAAACCTTTGCAAACAAATCGTACCTACCGAAAAGCTTGAAAAAAGCAAAAACAAAAAAAAGTTAAATTAAATTAAAATGCATTGATAATATATTATGTACCGTTTATGCTGCGTTCATATAGCTCGTTAGAGCAGGACGTCGCGGCTAATCATTACCGAAAGCGAAATACGACGCCACGTAAATTACGCTGGAACAATCGAATTATTAATGTAACGCACGAGCCAGATAAATTATGGCCACGTCAAGTATCTGCGTTCTTTTATCGCGGAGGACCTCTGACCCCTGCGCTCAATATAGAGGGATTAAGCCCGAGACTTGTAATTGCTGCATGTTTGTGTGCCACACCTGATCCGCATCTGCCTGATCGCGTTATGAAACAGTGACACGTGGCAAGCCTAATAGGCTATTTCGCGTGCTCCAACTGCGAAATTTCAGGGAAAAAATAAAGGGAACGGATGGACGAGAGGATATCACGCGAATGGTGGTAAATGGTCGCTAAATTTGCCGCAATTCGCCTAATTGCGAGGTTAAACAGGTAAAGAGACGCGAGTATTGCGTATTCCGAGGACATGAATTTCAATTCTTTCAAGTTAGAGTCTTACGAAAGAAACTTTTTTCTTTGACAGAAATTTTACTATGTTTCTTCCACCTCACTTTGAAATTATTATTGCGAATTAATAAAGCGTAGATGTTGATTAAGGACACGAAACTGAAATTATTTCGAGCGAGACTCGCATAGAGAAACGAGATAAAAAATCTTTCTCCTTTAATATAAAGTTTATAGGAATTTTGATAGAAATCTCTTGGTTTAGGAACGCTACCTTGTTTTAAAATTACTATCGCAAGTTACTTCCT